CCATCCCTCCCCCAAAATACAGAGAAATATTGTTGAGGATTTGACTGACTTGTTTTTATTTTTTAAACTGGATTTTCCTGAATCCTACCATCCAGGGACGTAAAACAAAGAAATGATTTACTGAAGCCTTATGCGTAATCACTTTTTATGCCTTATTTTAATTAGTTCCCTCAAAAGATGATCCGAAAAGATAAATAGCCAAAGATTGCTGAAATCTGATATTAAATTGAATCTGACATGTTATTAATCATATTTTGAAATAAAAAGCTTTTTTTCTACCATTCACTCATATATAAAAATGTTGAAGGGAGGGATAGTGAAGGTAATTGGAGGAAACGAAACAAGTCCTTATATGACCTTATTCAGTTATAACACGACTCCTTGTATGACCGATTTCAGTTATAACCAGACTTCTTCGATCTATGAAAGATTTCAATTGTTACACGACTCTATGACCTATTTCATTTATTACATGACCTCTTTAAGGACCGATTTCAGTTATTACACGACTCATTATATGACTGATTTCAGTTATTAAACGACTTCTTGTATGACCCATTTCGGTAATTACATGACTTGTTGTTTGCTCGATTTTGGTCATTACATGACTCCTAGTATGACCGATTTCAGTTATTACTCTACTTTTTGTATGACCAATTTCAGTTAATAGTCGATATCTTGAATGACCGATTTCAGTTACATCGAATTACACGACTATCAATATGACTGATTTCAATTACTACACGTCTTTTTCAATTATTACATGCAACTTTCTTGTATGACTGATTTCAATTATTTCTAAACTCCCTGTATGATCGATTTCAGTTATTATTAGACTTCTCCCCTATGACCGAATTCAGTTAATACTCGAATTCTTATATGACCGATTTCAGTTACTAAACGATTTTTTGTATGACCAATTTCAGTTGTTAGAAGACTTCTAGTTGTAGGACCGATTTCAGTTATTATACGACTTCTTGTATGACCGATTTCAGTAATACTCAAATTCTTGTATGACCAATTTCAGTTATACGCAACTTCTTGCATTATCGATTTCAGTTATTATACGACTTCTTGTATAACGAACTGCTATGGATTTCTACCTGTCTGATATTTTGTATATATCATGTCATTTTTTAATCATTTTTTTTTTTTTGGGGGGGGGGGGTCCTTTAATAACCATCATGTTATTTTTATTAATCATCATTTTCAATGTTAAAAAATGCAAATATACATACATTTTTCATATTTTTTTACATCAACAGCGAGTCACTCTCAATACTTTAAAAACGTGGGCAATTAGTATGCCTAAATTAATCAATATTCATTGTTTACAAATTTCAAACATTACTGTATAGAACAGACGTCCTCTTTTAATTACATGCAAACAAAAAAGTTTCTTAAAGCAGAATAGGACTTTTGATAAAAAGTTTTAGAATTTAACAGTTGGAGATAACTGAGATCAATATTAGAAATCCTATGATCATACAAAATTGAGAACAGGACAGAGCTCAAACTCCCTGGAAACACCAGAGGTAGGTGGGATGAGGTGCCTAGAAGGCCTTAAGCCATCTGTATTTATCAGGTAAACAGAGTAGCCCAAAGTCAATGAAATCGATATCTTGACAATTGATATAATATGTCAATTAAACCAAGACCAAACGATGGGCCATATTTAGGCCATATTTGTAATCAAGTTCATTCTGAAAACCATAGAAATAACGAAATTAAGGAGAGTTTTCAAGTAATATAACATCAACTTATTTGTCAGAAGCTTGTCTCGGTTTAAAAATTGATCGTAAATATTGCGTGTAGAATTGACTGAGAGACATAGGCTCTTCACACAGGCGATAACAGAATGTTTTTTAAAAACATAAACATGGGACGTTGACGATGGAGCAGATGAAGTCATTCTGTTTGTTATATACTGTTAACGTACTTATTTTAGCGGTTATCATTTTTAGCGCCTGTCAGGCAGCTTCTTTTCTGCTTATTCATGCACACGCTAATATATGATTAAAGATAATTTTTGTTTTTAAAGGATCACGTTCGCATATCTATGATTGCTCTAATCAGTTAAAAAGAGTACTGCACTATTTAATAATGCGCTAATTTAATTTACATTTACAAATGTTCAAGTGTTAGCCATTCCTTCTTTAGTTATTTAAAAAAATGCAGCTATAGATTGGATATAACAGACTCTGTAGGTCTTTAATTTCGAGTTCATTAGGATGTTTAGAATCGATATATGTGAATGAAAATGAATTTTTATGCAATATCGAAATGACACACAATCACAAGATATGAATATTTCTGTGTTCCATTTTTCATTGAAGTAACAGTTTTCTACAAAGTGAAAAAACCAGGTCTTATATTGTGAAAAGTTGTTGTTTAAAATATTGAAGAGATATGATGTATTGCCGTTGTTTTTGAAAAAAAAATCAGATTTTCTAAAAGATCTTTGGAGATTTTATAGAATCCTAAATTGATTTACATCACTTTTCGAAAATGTTGTAGCAAGTTTCCCATATTCAACAGTTAAAGTGTTTGTGAGGAGTAAAGATAAGGGTTTTGTAGAACATCTACTAGACCCTGCAACACATCTTTATTAAATAAAATTTAAGACATTTTTGGAATCCAACATAGGCATAGTAACTCAAAATTCATTCCTGTTGACTGAGATGTTAAAATGATTAAAAACCGACAGGTAATGCTTAATTATTTTTTTTTGAAAGGGATTTAAGAGTTTCAGTTGGAATTAAAGATGAAGTGTTAAAACCAAGTCCATCGACTTGGGTCAGTCGCGGCCGTGATTCGAACACACGGCCTTCCGCTCCTTCTGTGATCGAATCACGGCCGCGACTGACCTAAGTCGATAAAAAATAGGTAGCAACTGTTAATTCGCCAAGCTCTCGGCACTTTGAAGTGAAAGTTATGGGTCATTCGGATGAGACCTTAAAAACGGAGATCCCGTGCTCAATGGCCCTAAGTGCCGAGTAAAGGTCTAAATTTGAAGCCCTATATGGTGACATTTCTATATATTAGTGAAAAATCCTCGAACGGGACGTAAAAGGACAAACAATCAATTAATTAATCTGATATACAGATGTTGTAATGAGCTAAGCAAACAAAGATTATGTTAAATTTTATTAGTAACTTAATGAAATTCAATATATTTAGCCATAAATTTAAAAAAAAAAATGGACAAACCCCCTTTTTTTATGGAACACTATGAAAATCCAAACTAACTTTACTTAAGTATGCTTGAAAGGTTTGTAAAGGTTTGGGATCTTTTATCGACATATTGAAATTGAGGCTTAAAAGTTAACGTTGGCCATTGTGATAAAAATCAATGACTTAAACTCATGACATCAAAATACATCTATAACGAACGGAAAATTGCAGTCCATTTTGTTACAATAATAATCACTTTCCGTACTGTTAATATTTAAGACTTTTTTGAGTAAAATTTGGTAATCTGAAATCGGAAAAAAGCAATTTGTGAACCTTACCCTAGCTGCAGCCAAGATAAAAAACAAATGGTTTAAAATTATTCAAATTAACATGTCATATACATGTATGTTATTTGATAGCAATTACATGTAAATTCTTATTGCAAAAGTCCCCTCCTTAAGCCGGTTAGTTCCATCTTTGTAGTTAATTCTTCCATCTCACACATACAAAACCTTTCCTCTGTAATAGCGCCGTTATAAATAAAAAAAGTATAATGAACAAACTAAAAGTATGTATCGCCATTGAAAAGAAACATTCATACTTATTGAGCTTTACGTAATATATAACACAACTTCTGTGATATTTATATATCTTTGTTTACGCTTTCTAATGCTTTTAACATCTGAACGGATATCCAGGTATCCGAGCTGTCCACAGAGGTATACAGGGTCACTCAAGTCCATAGGACTAAGGAGGTGGAATCTGAGCTGTGTATTATATATATTTGATCAAACTAACACATTTTTGTGGAAGGTACAACGGTCAAAAACAAATCTAAATGATTTATTTTGCCAAGGATCATACACAATGATTTTTTTTTTTATACGTAGCAGGTCTTTGCCAATCTTCCCCGAATTATTTGCTGAGCAAGGGACTGAAAATAGGGTGTAAAATTTCCATTTCAAATTAAAAGCAGCATATCTTCATATGCAACGACTAAACAATAAACTAACATGTCCAGGAATACAATCTCGGAAATCTTTTTTATTTTTAACAAATACGAATTTTCGAGAGGCACAAAAGAATCTTAGTACAAGTTTTTGTAGCTTCTTAAGTTAAGCACCATTTGATTTCTCTTAAACCAGTTATAAGGACTTAAGAATTGACGCAATAACGCACGATTACAATGTACAGATACAAACAGTCGCCAACGTGGGGAGTGGTTAGACCTTTGCTCTGGAGTCGCGGAGTAAGGAGTTGATCTTTAAGTAGTGGGCTCGAAACCCACTGCGGGATGTGGAGATCGGTCTTCGGATGAGACTGTATAAACCGAGGTCCCGTTTCGCAGTAAGTACTGGCACGTAAAAGATCCCTCTCTGTTTTAAGGCCACGTACAGGTCTTATTTGCAGTCCTCCATCGGCAAGTGATGGCGTCTCTGTATGAGTAAAACATTCTCGAAGAGACGTTAAACAAACAGACAGACAGACAGACAGATACAAACATAAACAATGCATACAAACAATACAGAAGAAACAATAATTATGATAAAAATCGCCAGTACTGATTCATCATAAAAAGCAAATCGTTTTAAAGAGAGGGGCGACTCTTTGTATAAATTATCTACTGAAAACAGATTTTACAGAAAAGAGCTACTTGAAAAAAATATGTTAAAAGTATTTTAATGATGTTTTTCATGATTAATCAAGGTGAATCAAGATCCGCAAAGGAAACCATATGAAGCATGTGGTTTTATTTCTATAACGTTACATAATAAGTTGATACTTCACAGAAACATGACGAAACAAAGGATATACATGTACACGCAATATATAAACAAAAAAAAAACTAACAACAGAACACATTTTCCCGGTCAGCAAGGTGCGCCTTAGTAATGGTAAGATTAAAATAATTGCTCCATAATTATTACTTTTGAAATTATAAACGTGGTTTTTTAAAGTCAATGATATATTGTATGTTTTATTTTTTAGATCATAAATTAAACCTATTAAACTTTAAATATTCTGAACATTTAACAAAATATGTCCCAACGCAAATGTTATACTATCGAATCAATTCGCATTGATTTAATTACATTATCCTAGCTGAACATAACCTCAAGAAAAAAATTAATCCTAGGACGTACAGTAAAAATGTGTCTGGTATCAACATTGAATAACTGTTTATACTTCTTCGATTGTCAAAAGATTACTGTATCATATTTTAGGCAAAAGTCTTTCTATTCCTTACCCTCGTCATATTCGATTCAGCGTTTGGATTTAGCTGTGTTAAGGAAGATGATGTTTGTTATGGAAGCCTCGAAATCGATTACTCCTTTACAATGATTGACCCCGTGAACGGTCCAGTCTACGCCAAAGACCGCTCTCTGTTCACTGTTGATGGTGACGAGGAAGTACCGATAGAATGTGTGAACACAGCAGACGGGTGGAACTTGACAACCACAAACTTACTGACCGCTAATGGAAAAATGCCAGGACCTAATATTGTCGTGTACAAGGATCAGAAAATTACCATTAAAGTCAAAAATAAGTTAATGAACGAGGCTATCACAATGCATTGGCACGGCATTGACCAGTTTGGATCACCTGCAATGGACGGAGTGGCGTTCGTTACACAGTGTCCAATTTTGCCAGGACAACATTTCATATACACATTCCGTCCTCGCTTCGCCGGTACTTACTGGTACCATTCCCACGTCGGTATACAGAGAGAAATGGGTTTGTACGGGGCCTTTATAGTTCTCAGAAGAGACGATGACATTCCTCCAGAAAGACAATACATTATGCAATTACAGGAATGGAACCACTTGTACGACCCAGTTGCTCGGTTTAAAGCTAATTTAAAAGGTGCCGGTAATGATCAAAAATCTATCCTTATCAATGGAAAAGGAGAATTCAATGGCAATAATGCACCATTGGAAAATTTTATTGTAGACAGAACCAAATCTCATGTATTCCGTGTGATTCACGTAGGCTCCGCTGATACCATGCTGCTTTCCGTGCCAGGGTTAAAACTTATAGTCAAAGAAACTGACGGTTTTCCAGTCGAACCAAAAGTCGTAGACCAAATCATTATTCTTCCGGCTGAACGATATGATTTTGAACTTGATCTGCAAAACGCTTGTCAAAATAATTATAAAATTATCGTGAAAATACTGACTGGTTCTGACTTAAAAGAAAGCCAAAATATAAAAGGGTTAGCCCTTTTGAGAGTCACAGGAGTAAGCTCAGGCAACAGCTTGGGATCTTCTCGACATCTTCTAAAAGATACGTCACATCTTTCGTCACGAAAGGAAGGACAAAGGGAGATCGAGTCGCAGAATGCAAAATGCTGTGAAAATAGAAGAAAAAATACCAGAACAGTGCTAAATTGTCCATTCGAAATCTATCCAAATTCTCCAGAAAAGACTTGCGTGCCAGTCTCTGAACTTAAATCTACATTTACAGAATCAAATGTTCAGGAAACGAGAAACTCTGAGACGTTTTTTCTAAATTTTGCATTCGTAGGTGGTCCCTCAATTAATGGACGCAAATTTATTCCGCCAACAATAGCAGCTTTGTTGGAACCGGATGAAGTGGATACAAAATGTGAAGGATGTGTCGATGAGAGCCCATGCTCCTGCACTCACACCATAGATCTGTCCTACGAAAAGGAAATAATTATGGTATTCCTCAATCTCGGAAAAGGGGGTAGTTTAAACCATCCAATCCATATGCATGGCCACACATTTGAGGTTTTGAAGATGGCCTTTCCGAAAGTAGAAAAAGATTCAACTGGAATAGATACTCTAGTACCAAATGAAGATATCCAGTGTAACAAGAATTTGCCGAATAATGAAAGCAATTGTAATAATGCTTATTGGAGGGACGAGTCATGGAATGACTACAAACTGATACCAGGTATTAACCTAAACAACCCAGTCCGAAAGGACACCTTGTTGGTGCCGATGGGTGGATATGCTATAATCCGAATCATCGCCGACAACCCTGGGGTGTGGTTTATGCATTGCCACATCGATAGTCACATGATGAATGGAATGGCGCTAATGTTGTATGAAGCCATAGACAACATACCCGAACTTCCTAACCTTCCGACCTGCCGCAGTTTCGACAACAAAGACGACGGAATGGACGGTGAATCGAAGTCACGACAGACTAGGCGCTACAAGAGTGAACTCTGAAAAAATTTTTTTTAAGTTTTGTTAATCTTTTCTTCTCAAGTATCCACATACTCAATCCTCTACACCAACAGGCTCATCTTTACCATCGTCTGCCATGATAGATGTACTGACCCCTTTGTTTCCGCTCTCTTTGTTTTGACTCACGTAGCTTTTATGACGAACACACTTAGTTGGGTTACTATTTTTCCATTTGCACTTAGTCCTGGTAGTATATGGCATACTCTACACCACACACTTACTAACAAATATTGCTTTCCATATATATCATTTCAAAATACTTACTCAAGCTGCGAGCCACTGACTAGTCCGCCATACCAACCGGAAGAATTCGGAAGAAAATAATTTAAAATATCAAAATCCTTGTTTGTTGCCTTTATAATTGATTAAAGTATATTGGAATTTGAAAGTTTCTTAATATTGATTAATGAAGCTTTTGTTTTTGTTTTTATATCTCAAGAATTTTTTTTCTACACAAATTGAAAAGGACAGTTCTCTGATGTACAGTTGCTGTTAAAATTTGCAGTTACGTTATTTGATCCCCTTTGAAAGAATTTTTTAAATGTATTTGAAATCGGGAGAAAAACATATAAAATTCATACTTTTAGCGTGGAACCTGACACAAAACCCAAAACGTAATACATTTAAAGATAGTTGTATAAATAACAAGGCTTTTTGATAGATCTTTGAAATATCGGGATACAAACAACAAATTTTGTTTCGTGTTAAATCCAAAGAGTGTGTTATTATATAAATGCATTTATCATATACTTAGTAGGAAATACTTCGATTCCGCGCTATGCAATACGGGTGATGTCACAAAACCCAATATTAACGTCCGGTCCAAAAAATTATATCGCGTATCAGGCCGGTGAGCAAAATTACAAACAGGCCCGTAGAACGCAGGGAGGGGGCAGGAGGGCTACCCCATTTTGAAACTGATGGTACGGGCCTGCCATATCCAACTGAAAGTAACGTTTATATAAAGTTTAAAAGTTAATTAACTTGACTTTATTGAAATAAACATGTAATTTAATTCTTGTACTAAATTTTGTTGATTTTATTAGTTTGAAAATGACCTAAAATTGGCTCTATTAGCTTTTAAAGAAAAGGGTCATTTACATGCACAAAATTTTCTTAAATGACTATGTGAACTCATATATTATATACTTAAAATATATGATTAGAATATTACATACTAAGAACCATATCATATGTCATACCAACCCTCGGGCTGATATGTGACATATCTATGGATTTTGGTTTGTAATATTCTCTATATACTAAATGTTCTATACAAATAAATATAGCAGTGAACCGTACGCACATAAATCCCGTGCAGTGAACATCTATAAGTTGATCTTTTCCCCATTTTTTTTTTCTTTTCTTTTTTTTTTTTTTAAATCAGTAACATCAAAACGCACGCCTTTATTTTACACTTAATTCAACCCATTCTCACTATAAATTAAAAACTATAGGCTTTTTGATATCATAGGCACTGCTTCTTTAATAAAAAAAACGGAACTCGAAAATTTTCATATCTTGTGATTGGTCATCAACGAAATTATTTTATTAGACATCACTCTTATTATACCCGCACTTTCTAAAGAAAGTCTGGGTATATTGTAACACTGGTCCGTCCGTTCGTCTGTCACACTTTCTTCATCCTCAAACTCCTCTTTTATTTTAATCAGTAACCGATTGATCTTGTGGAATATGAAAGGGGATGTCCAATAGATATACAATAAGGTTTTGGAATTTTCATTTTCACCCTCGGGGTTAAATGGGGGCCAATAATTGATTTTTTTAAACTTAATTTTGTACAGGCCCATGTATGATAATTATACCCTAAGGGGTATGTTTACCTGTCGGTTGAACTTCGGTATCTCGAACACTGATATCTCGAATACCATGGATATGTCGAAGTAAATTGGAAGTACCAACCAGTTATTCTTTAATTATTTTACCCCTAATATCTCAAATCCTCGGTTATCTCTTTTTTCATGGTCCCACCGAGTTCGAGATAACGAGGTTTGACTGTATATAATCGCAAATGCTCGGAAGGAGACACAATATTTGAAAAGCAATTTTTTTTCATGCATTGTTTTCAGAATAGTTCAGAGCTGAAAATGTAAACCTTGTCACCATAGTGTGACTTTTATCCATGTTGAAAAAACTGCATATTTAAAAAAAAGTATGATTAAATAGCTAAATCAAGGTGTTTTGAATTACAAAATCAAGCTAAACCAGTATAGCTAATTCAACTACTGTAACAGAGCTTTATCAATTTTTAAGAGATTGTGTAAGACCTGTTTAACTCTTAAGGATTCTTAAAATATTAATACCCTCATTCCTGATTCAAGAAAGGGCTGGGAATATGACCAAAAGTCTATGATCTATTGACAAATAAATATGTGTGTTATAAGAGGAGTAAATAATAAGGACAAGTGGGAAAAGGGGTTAATATTCAAAATTTTAGGAGTTGTTCGAGATTACTCCTTCCCTTTTCCCCCCTTCCCAGCCCCCTTGCTGTTTATGTACATTGTATACACCAGTACGTTGTTTTGACACAAAAAAAATTGTGAATATATATACGAAAATGTACACAAAGTTTAATGGTTGGTCTCTGAATGATTTTCTTCTCTAAATCTAGGAGGATGGGTTGACCCTAGGGTGTCATGAATGAAATGTCAAGCAGATTACTAGTATCAATGATGCAATTTTGAAACAGGTTATATTGCAATCATTTCTAGTTCCAGGGGCTGGGGATGACCTCCAGGGGTTCATAACCTTTATACCATTAAATACATAATGACACAGGGAACAAGATTATGTATGGTTAAGGGAAAAAGTTTTCAACCATTATTGAAATATATATCATTTTCAGTTTCAGGGGGTGGTCGCAGAGGCCTCGGGGAATCATTTAATGTGTCATTATACAAAGATGACTTTGGGGCTTTCGATTTTATTTAAAGCTATTTGATTGTTTCCAGTTCCAGGGAGTGGGAATGATCCCCAGGGATTTGCTTCAATGTATAACTTGCATGTGGCATCCAATGATTCTTTGACCCTTTTTAAACTAAAGGCCCCTAACCATTTGCATTTCATATTATTTTGCACGTTCTATACCTAAACTTTTAATGGCACCCCACAGATATAATGTACTTCGCTCATGTTATTGGTACTGTTAACTTCATAAAATAATATATGTTCCATACAAAACACACTATAAATTTTTACTGACATAATGATGTTTACACCATGTGAAATCCAATAATGATGATGGTAAAACTAGTACTGGTAGTGTGACTCAAGTCCAACTCCAGTTGCGGTTCGATCAATTCCAGAAGTTGTCATTTTGGCATCTATTTTTTTTTTTTTATAAGTTAAGCCAAAACACTATGCTCTAAAAAAAAAAATTGACAACATTTGTTGTTTTGACAATAGATTCGACAAACTCCAATTATGGGCCAAATTTTACCACCCCCTTTTTTTTTAAACAAAAATCTTCTTTCAAAAATTCACTTTTAAACAGAATTTACATCATTAAATTCTGTAATTTCAGACTGGTAATGAATTAAGTATATAAGAAATACATATTAGAGGCTCATGGGCCGCATGTTCACCTGAGCATTTTATGTTCGATTTAACAATAACATGTATATATTCTGTGTTAATAATAGAATTATTGTGGCTTCTTCCCTGGTTACCCAAATATGAAGGCGGCTGCATTTAGAGGCAAATACCTTAGTGCAGGTATTACTGTCTTACGACAGCATCAAGTTCTACATACAAGAACTTTGATGTTGAGTTTAAAAGAATGCTGGAGTTTCTCATTGACAACATTTATATAGTCTTCGGAGACCAGATCTAGGAACAATCTGTTTTAAATGCGATGGGCACTAATTGTGCTCCTTTATTAACCGACCTGTTTTTAGCTCACCTGAGCTGAAAGCTCAAGTGAGCTTTTCTGATCACATTTTGTCCGGCGTCCGTCTGTCTGTCTGTCCGTCTGTCTGTCTGTCTGTCTGTCTGTCTGTAAACTTTTCACATTTTCGACTTCTTCTCAAGAACCACTGGGCCAATTTCAACCAAACTTGCAACAAAGTATCCTTGGGTAAAGGGGATTCAAGTTTGTTCAAATGAAGGGCCACGCCCTCTATCAAGGGGAGATAATTAGGAATTAGTGAAAAAATAATGGCAACATTTTAAAATCTTCTTCTCCAGAACCATAGGGCCAGGAAAGATGAAACTCATGTGGAAGCATCCTCAGGTAGTGTAGATTCAAGTTTGTTCAAATCATGACCCCTGGGGGTAGGGCGGGGCCACAATGGAGGATCAAAGTTTTACATAGAAATATATAGGAAAAATCTTTAAAAATCTTCTTCTCAAGAACAGCAAAGCCATGATGAGTCATATTTATATGGAAGCATCCTCAGGTAGTGTAGATTCAAGTTTGTTGAAACCATGACCCCCGGGGGTAGGGCGGGGCCACAATGGAGGATCAAAGTTTTACATAGAAATATATAGGAAAAATCTTTAAAAATCTTCTTCTCAAGAACAGCAAAGCCATGATGAGTCATATTTATATGGAAGCATCCTCAGGTAGTGTAGATTCAAGTTTGTTCAAATCATGACCCCCGGGGGTAGGGCGTGGCCACAATGGAGGATCAAAGTTTTACATAGAAATGTATTGGAAAAATCTTTAAAAATCTTCTTCTCAAGAACAGCAAAGCCATGATGAGTCATATTTATATGGAAGCATCCTCAGGTAGTGTAGATTCAAGTTTGTACAAACTATGACCCCTGGGGGTAGGGCGTGGCCACAATGGAGGATGAAAGTTTTACATAGAAATATATAGGAAAAATCTTTAAAAATCATCTTCTCAAGAACAACAAAGTCATGATGAGTCATATTTATATGGAAGCATCCTCAGGTAGTGTAGATTCAAGTTTGTTCAAATCATGACCCCCGGGGGTAGGGTGTGGCCACAATGGAGTATTAAAGTTTTATATAGAAATATATATATAGGAAAAATCTTTAAAAATCTTCTTCTCAAGAACAGCAAAGCCATGATGAGTCATATTTATATGGAAGCGTCCTCAGGTAGTGTAGATTCAAGTTTGTTCAAAGCATGACCACCAGGGGTAGGGCAGGGCCGCAATGGACTATCAAAGTTGTACATAGAAATATATAGGAAAAATCTTCTTCTCAGGAACAGCAAAGCCCAGATTGTTCATATTTATATGGAAACATCCACAGGTAGTGTAGATTCAAATTTATTCAAATCATGACCCCCGGGGGTAGGGCGGGGCCACAATGGAGGATCAAAGTTTTACATAGAAATGTATAGGAAAAATTTTAAAAGTCTTCTTCTTAGGAACAGCAAAGCCTTGATTGATCATATTTATGTGGAAGCATCCTCAGGTAGTGTAGATTCTATTTTGTTCAAATCATGACCCCCATGGGTAGGATGGGGCCACAATGGAGGATCAAAGTCTTAAATAGAAATATATAGGAAAATATCCTTCTGAAGAACTGCAAACCATGATTAGTCATTTTGATATGGAAGCATCCTCAGGTAGTGTATATTCAATTTTGTTTAATGATGACCCCCAGGGGTTGGATGGGGCCCATTGGGGGATCGAAAGTTTTACATAAGAACATATAGAAAAAATATTTCTTCTCAAGAACAGGAAAGCTATGTTTAGTCATATTGATATGGAAGCATCCTCAGGTAGTGTAGATTCAAGTTCAAATGATGACCCCTGGGATAGGGAGGAGCCACAATGGAGGATCCAATTTTTACAAAGGAATATATGGGAAATTTTTTTTAAAATCTTCTCAAGTACAATAAAGCCATTTGTTATATTGACATGGAAGCATCATCAGGTAGTTTACAATTCAAGCCCCCCCCCCTCCCCCACCCCAGGTAATCTTTTCAATACTGAAGTGATTTGTGCTTTTGCCTAGCCAATGTGCTCAGGTGAGCGATGTGGCCCATGGGCCTCTTGTTATGTTTTTATATTTCTCTG